AAACTGACGCTGCGTTTGAATCCGCATTTTAGCCTGCAAAGCAACCTACCAACCAACTGCGCCAATGTCCCCATCTCTTGCCCATGACCAATGCTAATGACAAATTGGAACTTTCTTTGAGCAAAAAAATTTCGTGAAGAAGCCTGAAATTTTTGAAGTTTATTTTTGGTTTCGAAAGCTCATTCCGAATCCAAAGATGTTTAAAATAGCTTTTATTTTCAGAAGACAAAGTACAACCACACTCCCACTTAATTTTGATCAGGTTCTCATTTAACGGTGAGTACTTGCGGTTTGTAATCAGTAAGACCGGAAGCCGTTTTAGTTTGTACGGCATGCCTTTATTACCATTAACTGTCTCATTTCTCACTACTGCAGGCTTCGTCGAATTAATCACAATCCAAGCCAGGTTCACATGGACTTTTAAAGTAATTTGTTGGCAATGGACTTTACGAGAAATATACTCCGTGCAGAGCAGATTATCCTTTTCCGTGGTTAGCGTAGCCGCAGAGTTAAATGACCTTTTTCTTGCCCTTTTTATCCGTCTGATGACCCAGTTTATTTCGCTCACAATACCGACGCACTTTGACCATGAAGTTCTAACCGAGGGACGTTTCTTTGTGACATTCTCCACGGTTCTCTTAGTTTGGTTTTCAAATCAATTTGTCCGGTATTTTCAGATATCTTATTATTTGATATGGTTTCCGTTTTACAATGATACCCTGATTTAGGCAAGCAGTGAATTACCTATGCCTGAAAAGAGATTACATCGAACATAAGGTCAGCCATATCAGCGTCATTGATTCTCAAGAAATGTTAGTTTCTTTTACGAGGTAAGTTCATGAGCATGCATTCTATTCAGCCTAAGACTGACTACTAATAAAATGAAGCGGTGTGAATTTTAATTGTACAGTGTCTGTGTTCAGAAACCATGGAGTCTTGGCTTGCTTAAGCGATCATCTACCGTATAGGAGCAGTTGTGTGTGATATCGTAACTCAGTGTGCTTTTAGCCTATAGTTTCCCTCTTATATAATATTCATTCTAGCGAGGGCGATAATATCGCGGCCATTTTGATTCTGCACAACATGCTTAATAAGTTGACGATCTTTTTTAAGTCAGTGGCTGTGAAAGCAGTGAGGTAAGCTATTGGAGCAGATCTAAGAAAATTTTACTACCTTCGGCTTATTTACTGTAAAAGACACTAGTGTTGCACTAAGAGGTTACACACCATACGAATACGAAGGTTCGTTCAGACTGTAGGTACCAATTTCCGTACCTCTGATACATCTATGGAGCTTTGCATTCGCTAGGTAGTCTCATGTTAGGTGCATGAGTGCGATACTCGGTGATTCGTTGACCATGAATTTAGTCTCCCGCAGTCAGTCACAAATATTGTCATCGGTTAGTTCATGGCTATTGACAATGAAACTAGATCATAAGGATGTTTATTGGCGATGGTTCTTTCAAGTATCCTGATTGTATTTCCCGCATTTACACGGTTTCACCTGTAAGTGGTCCAATGTTTCTGCCGCCAGTGGATGATTCTCAAGAGATGAATAGATTTTGAGAAAGAAACGTTTTAAACAAAGCATTGCCGGGTTCTACGAGGTCGTTAAATAAACGTTTTGCTGTGATATTCGTTTACATGCATTAGCCACACGCAGACTGATGTCACAGCAGTGTCACTTGCTATATCAGCAACATTCCGCCTCTTCTACAGCTCGTTCGAATCAGGTCTGTTTTGTGAACGTTTGTTGAAAGTAGTCATGGTCAGATTCTACTGTCAGTAATAATACTTTTTATCCTATTCAACTGTAACATAGTGTACTTTTAGTGGTCATCTTGTTGAGCCGAAAGATTTCACGAAGTCCAAATCTGGCTACATAGTAAAAGACCAGTTGTTTTACTCGAAGGTAAAACGTAGATAATGCTGTTTCTTTCCTTTCACGTGATTTCTTGAGGATGGCCTAAATAATGGAGTGGCAAACGACTTTTACGTCCATGCGATTGTTTATCATCCCGGAAAACCATGTGATATTCGCATGGCGATTGGTGCGTGGCAATTGTTTCGCTGTTTATAAGTAATATGGTTTCATCTACGACCTCTTGAAGTACTTTTCTTGTTTTGCATTGTTTTAAATTGTCACCCTAAATGAACAGCAGGACAATCGATTTGATTGCATGGTCTGATTGACTGTCGCGAGTAGATGGAGATGGTTTCATGCCTGTGCAATTGCAATCAGAATATGAAAGGACAGGCCTCTTAGAAACGGGCGGACTCTTCAGAAACCTGCTTGACGCAACCGAAAGGCAGATTGAGCAACAGATGGTTCAATTAGCGCCGCGTGTAGCTTGCTCGTTGAACGTAGTGTCTTTGACATTGGAAACACCTTTAAAAGCTGCTCCATGATCTGTAGAAAATAGCAACATCGGTATCGCGTACTTGCTTCCTTATCTACATCATGTCTGTCATGTTTTGACGCGAGAACCTTGAAGATTGGATTGAATGGTTCATGCTCAACCAATATTTCGAACAAGGCCCAACTGCCATTCCAAATTTCACGTTCTGTTTTAGTGATAGAATTAAGTACATTAGAAGGATTCTTCAAGGAACTTGGAGGGACAGTATTTTTCTACTTATCTATATTTAAGCACTAAAAAACGCAATTTCCATTAAAATGTAATTTTTTTCTAGAAGTAGCATTTAATTTACAAAAAAAACAACGAAATATAGAAGGTCTATCAAGACGGTATATCGCTACGACTGTTTTGGCTCATCTCACACGAATGCTTCATAACAGTATTCGTAGTTGTTTGCTCAAGATTGTGTACCTGACTGCTGCTTACATTATCTGAACTGGGGAACAAACCTTGTTTGAGCAGAGTTGATAAAACTTCTTGCGATCGCCCTTAGGAATGACATTGTCCAAGGCTTAGGGCCTTTTGCATGACCGCCTATCGGCCAACAACTGTGAACAATGCATAGTTTTAGAAAACGGCTTGTTATCCAAGGCGATTGCAAGGTACTTCGCTTCGAAGCAGTTACACAGTAACGTTGCCACTTAGTGTCTACAGAGTTCCTGATCCTGTTCCAGTGTTCTTTGGATCCGAGTCCTTCGAGACACTTGCCTCAAATTGCTTTTAGCCGTTCCGGAGCTTTCAGCCTGTCGGTTAAGCAAGTAATAGCTGTTTCGTCCTTCTTTCTGAAAACATTCGAAGGTCGTGCCCAATCTGTGTAGCTGTGACATCTCATTCTACAGAAATATTGTTGAATTTAAAGAAAATCATTTGATCACGTCCGGCTTTCATTTTCAAATGGCATTAATTAATTAATTAATCAAAAGGCATTTTCAAGAAACCAAAATTCTCTTGAATAAGCGGTGGTGTAAGGTACTAAGTGAATATTTAATTTAGGCAGTGACCATGGTTTGAGGTCGACCAGCGCTATGGTGATGGCGATTCTGCAAGTGCTGCTGAATAATGCTACATTGACTGAAGCACTTGCTTTTCCAAAGCTTTACTTTAAGGAAGGGACTATTTACGTAGAAGGTGTGTATGTTGGGAGACAGTTTTATAAAATCATGAAATACCGAAATTTTAGATTTTGACGACGCTGAATACTTTGTCAGCATGCTCCAGAAAAAGCTGAAGATCC